CGTTAATCCGAAACCCCGTTAATCCGAAGAAAAGTCCCTGCACAATTGCCTTCGGTTTAACGGGGTTGCCTATGTATTAGATGTTTTATTGCTACCTTTTCTTTTATTATTTTTTTTTGGTCTGCTTGTAGTAGCAACAGCAGCAACATCAACATCAACATCAACATCAACAATGTCATTGTCATCATTTTCCTTAGTCTCAATATCATTTTTATTATTATCATCATTATTATTATCAAAATTTTCCTCATTATCAAGATTAATAATTTCTTTATTAATTATTTTTGAAATTGATTTTCTGTTACTTTCTTCTGAATCATCCCAGTTATAGGTTGTTGATAATTGTGTTGTTGGTTTTACAGGCGTTTTTTGTTGGTAACCTGGTAAATAGTTGATATCCAGGATATCAACAATAATTTATCAGGATCAACAGTCAATTCACCACAAACAAGTAAATGTGAATTTTCATTCAAATTATTTGTTTTATTACACAACCTTTGATCAATATTTAAGAATCTACAATTTATTTGGTATTCCTTATCTTCTACACCTTTTACCCACTCCTTGACTTTTATTTCAATATAGCAAATTTCATTTGTTTTTTTGATTTTTGACATCATACCAGTCAGATAGATGTCTAATGCACTTATGTGTAAATTTTGAATTGAAATTTTTGTTCTCTTTGCTGAGACAAGGATTATCTATAATTTAATTATATTTATATTATTATAAATTCATTATTACAATAATTAAAATTATTACATAAATACAAAAAACTTACTTTTGTTTCATTAGCTTTTGAAAATTCAATTAGATTAGCTTTCCCAGATATTTCATAAATTGCACCTTCTACTAACTCATCAACAAATGAAGTATTGATGAGTTTTTATTATAAAATGCAGTTAGATGGATATTAAAAGTGCCATTTTTGTTATTATTATTTTTTTCCACTCTTGCAACAGCATTAGCCTCAATAACTGTGAAATTGTTTGTTTCTTTAGTATTAATGATTGAATCTATCACACAAATAGTAGTCAATTTAAATGGCATTTTTAAAAAAGGAGATTTAAATGTTTTAAAGATTTTTTAATTAAAGATTTTTTGATAAATCAACCATATTTTTTATATATTTAATAAAGTTTCTTTATTTCTTTTTTAATAATTTTTAATTAATTAAAATTTAAAATTTTGAACATTTGCTTATTTGTTTTTTTAAGTAGTTTCAAATAGAATTTCTTAAATTCATAATTATATATATACTACAGCAAAAACTTATTGTTTTTCAGATATTGTAAAAAAATTTTTTAGGAAACACAAAATTTTGCATGTGTAATTTTTTTTACAAGACTTAAACTTGATTTGCGCACTTTCTATTATGTCAAAAATTTTCCTAAAAGCAACATTGATTAAATGCATTTTTTTTCGATAAAAAAAAATTCAGTTTTACTGTTTTAGCATACAAAATAATAAATTTCAATGATTTTCTTCAATTTTTTTTTGACGTTTCATTTATTTATTTGTTATCTGTTTTAGTGTAACAGAAAATAAAATTTTTTTTAATTATTGCAGCTGAGTCATGTATCACAACACATACATATAAATAAGATTGTCATAAATAACAAATATTATCGTTTTTTTTCCCTTTTTTTAAAATGCACAAACTTAATTCCACCCAATTTTGATTTAAAACGAAAATGACATTACTACAGCAAAAATTTATTGTCTTTTCAGATATTGTAAAAAAATCTTTTAGGAAAACACGAAATTTTGCATGTGTAATTTTTTTACAAGACTTAAACTTGATTTGCGCACTTTACTATTATGTCAAAAATTTTCCTAAAAGCAACATTGATTAAATGCATTTTTTTTTGATAAAAAAAAATTTCAGTTTTACTGTTTTAGTATAACCAAAAAATACAAAATAATAAATTTCAATGATTTTCTTCAATTTTTTTGACGTTTCGTTTATTTATTTGTTATCTGTTTTAGTGTAACAGAAAATAAAATTTTTTTTAATTATTGCAGCTGAGTCATGTATCACAACACATATAAATAAGATCGTCATAAATAACAAAATATTATCGTTTTTTTTTTTCCCTTTTTAAAATGCACAACAACTCTTAATTCCACCCAATTTTTATTTAAAACGAAAATGACATATTTGTAAAACTAAAGATAATATACATATATATAAGAAAGGTTCATAGTTTTTTATGCAAACAATTTCCTTATTT